GGCATAGGGCTCATTCGAAAGGGCACGGTTTAGCCTTTAATTTCTGATATATGCAAAATTTGTACCACGTCAGGGTTCAGCTCTATAATTTTTCGAAAATGGCCAAAAACGCTGTTTTTAGGGGTTTCAACCCCTTTTTTCTCGAAAACGTGACGTGATGGGACATTTTTGAAAAATCCGTTCAGAAACACCAGGTCCCGTCTTATTCGCAGAAAAAAAGTTGAAATTTGAAGACCAGTGTAATTAATGATGATGTCGTTTCTTCCAAAAAATGTTGCCCCTCCCCGGTGCAAAATGTGTTTGATGTTACATGCAACCCTGTAAAAAGGCATGTTTTTGCCTTCTTGTCCTTGTCTAGCTCACGTATTTCATAATGTTATCGTTTTTCAGGACAACCATCTCCGCTGAGAAAGCTTCAAGGGGAAAATAATGTGCCCTTTTTGCCTTAAAAGAGTGTGGCATTTTAAGAAACACACACAAAATTTTCCAATGTTTGCCTCTATTTTAGAATCGAACACGAAAAGAGAACAGGGCAATCAAAAGGAATGATTCAAGCCGGAGCCTTACATACATACATACATGGTACTTACATACGTAAATGAGGCATATAAAATATACAAACATTTCTTATGTCAACTACAACTTTGTGATAAGTGGTCGTTTACGGTTTTTATAGAAACTCGTCGGTTAGCTTGTGTCACATGCTGTTCTTGACAGAATGTAATAAATAGTTCACTCATTAAAACATACTACATTTATCTGATAATTGGCTAACAATTGAATTTCTAACGACATCACCGATATACATACATATGTATGTATGTGTGTACGCAAAAATTGCCATGAGTCATTATGTCCAACAGCGAAAAATAATTTTATTAATGGCAACAATAAATTTTTTATATACAATTAAGGCGAGAAAATGCTTGTATCCTTAATTTGGGCCATATTACATATAAATACAATATACACTAGACCGGATCGGAAGCTATCCGTTTTTATTTGAGAGCTTGCGTCAGGGAGAATTTATCTTTATAAAAATTTCCGCCTAAGCGCAAGGCGTTTAAGTGTGATATTTTGTTGAAAAATTTACTTTAACTGATATATCTATTTGCGATTGTGAAAAACCTATTACTTGCCAAAACAGTAAATTTAATGTTGACTAAAATTTTATTTTGCCAGGTAGAAACTCATAAAATTTACTTTACTTGTGGAAGTAAAGATATCGAGAGATAATTTTCATCAATATAATATTCGAGCAAAATATGGTATTCAAAAACACCTTTTCAACGATATGGGACACAAATAAAAAGTTATGAAAAAAAATTGGGTGATGAAAAATTCTCATGAAGTAGGCTTTCAAATAGAGA